TATATATATATATATATATATATATATATATATATATATACACATACACAATATAATAGTATATGTATACTAAACCTGAGCATCTCTCTCCCATAACCACCATTGTAATATCATATATTATTTACTTTCAAAATGCACATTTTATATATAAAATTAAAAATATATTTTGTATAACTTGAAACAGATTTATCAACTAACTTTTTTGGACCACATAGTTACTTTATATGCTTTTCAATGAGATCTCTTACAATTAATTGTTCAATTTCTTCACCATTATCTAATTGTTCGTTTGTAAGAGATAAAACGTAATTGGTTTCCTTGCTTACAATAATCACTTGTTGCTTTCTAGTTTGCAACATGTTGGCTATTACAAGCTAAAAGACATTCAAAATTTAGAAGTATCTTACAGAAAACTCGATATCGTTACAATAATAATTACTTACGTTGTGATGATACTTATTAAGGGCAGTCCTCGCCTTAGAAATCAGCAAGCTTTCATCGGTTTCTAATTTAAATGAAACTACAAATGCTTTCGGTACCCACAAACTGACTAATGGAGCTAAAATCTTTGGTACTAATTGAAGAGATATAGTTGGCGGCCCACTCGAGGAAATCTTATGGATTGACTGAAAAAAATTTTATTGTATATACAGTATGTCCAGTAGAGATCATGACAACGCTTACGGATAGATTTCTAAGATCATTTTAAGATGAAAATCCTAATATCAGAATATCAAAGTATAATTGAATTACAAACACTCAAAGTTAGCGAATCATATCGCCTACAGTTCGTGCGTTCAGATGTAGTAGATAAATGCCAACCATACTTAAACGCGCGAACTTTAGGTGATATGATTCGCTAACTTTAAATGCTTATAATTCAAAAACTATTGTAACCTCGACATTTTTATATTAGACTTTTCGATTCAAAATTATCTCAAGAATACGTTCTTAAGAGGAAATGCGGTAATTGTAAGACACCCTGCAATGTGCTGCCTGGTTATATAAAATATAAATATTTGAAATAAATGAAACGAGATAGTCGATACTCTCGAATGTCTCGAGACTTCTGCGTATGTTCTGACAGTACTGCAAAAAAAGTATAATATTTGATTAATGTGGATTAATTCCAAAGATTATGGTTAATTATTCTCTGTAATTCACCTGTAATAACAGGATTCTCATTGTCTGATATTTGAAGCAGGTCTAAAAACTTCTGACCTATAAAATGTCTCGAGAATGGTTCCAAAGATTTAACTCTGAAAATATAAAAAAAAGTTTATATATATATATATATATATATATATACACATCATCCTGTATGTACTTGCTTCATATAAAAAATTTGAAGCAGTATAAAAATAGCAATATAAATTTCTATATATTTTAATTTAGTCGCTACCAACGGTGATTATAATCACTCGCCATTGAGCATTTGCTATGCATTAGATTAAATAACAATGAAATATGTAACGATAAAAATTTTGAATAAATATGTAATTTACAATTTCGTAATTATCAAAGCGAAAAGTATTACTTTAACTGTACAATACATTTTCTATAAATTTGTACAGGAATTAATATTACTTATATAAATATAGAAAATATATACGCTCTGACTTTATTGTTACAACTATATATTTCGCTAGTTTGTAACATACATAATTTGTATGTTTGTAACATACGCACATAATTTGTATGTTTGTCATGTTTTATTTGTCATCTATTATTATTTTTTTATTACATATTGTAAAAGAAATATGTTTTCGTTAAGAGTTTTCCTTTTGTCTCGATCACCTAAAAGTCTCCTGACTCTGCTATGAAGTATACAAGTATTATTACCTATACATAAAAATAACTGCATATCCATACTCCAAAAAGTATTCCGCTGAAACTGAGCCTCTTGTACCCGCACTGAAATTGTCTACAAATCTCACTGTATTATGTTCCAAGGGTACTGTCGTACCACCACTCTGCAAGTAAACATCATGATTTCAGTTAGAATGTCGTAGCAAAATCAAAGTCGAATCAATCAGCTGTCAAATCCTGGGACTCACCGTCACCAATACCACTTTATTACCAGCCTCGAGATGCTTCCTGGTGAATTCCTTCAACGCCTGTTCATTTTGTGCCAGGTCTTGAGGGGGTGGATGCTTCGCATAGAAATCCTCCCATGTTGAGACCATCGTGAATAGCTGCGACTAGAAAGACCTGCTGCACGAGGACAAAGACGATGAAATTCCACGGAGATGTTCAATACATATATCATTCATTTGCAATGATACAACTATAAAAAGACAAAGTTTTCCAGAAAAATAAGTTTAAATTATTAAAATTATGTAATATTTTGAAATATAATTTCGAATGATTGTAGAGAGGAATGAAAGTAAGTTTTTTTTTTTTAATATTTTCATTCCTTTTCTGTGTAAGCAACTCCAAAATGACAATTTTTTAGTTATGCCGTTATAGCAAATGAGATATATATTTTTTCAGGGCTTATATAATAAAAACTTATCAATGTTATCAAATATATTTATTTTATTAGCGATATTCGTATCCGTCTTTGCGATAACTTCACGCTAACAAATTGTAACAAATACGAATAAATACGAATTGCGATCCGTAAATAAGAACGTCGAACTGGCGGAAGCGGAAAGAAAATGAAAAGCGGTTACTAACCTCGACGTATATTTTCCCTAAAAAGGATCAGATTAACTTCGATCGTCGATCAGTGTTTTGCAAGTAACAGTTGCGTAAGAAATTCGAAATAAACCGTTGTATGTTCTTATATAATAATTATTCACGTGATTTAAGATATCACACTTCTCCGAGAGTTCTTTCCTGCGAAAAGGAGAGCTCGAGTCTTCCAAACACGATGAATCTGTCTGAATATTTCTTTTCGGTACATATATAAGTAAAAACATGAGATATTGTTCGCAATATACTGTATTAATTTACATCCTTTGTAGAAATTTAATACGCTGAAAGAAAATAATTAGTTATTTATTAAGCACTGAACAGTGTTTTTAATACTCAAAATAAATAATTAATCACTATCTTTCAATATTAAATTGGATTTCTGTAAGGAATACTCAATAAATGAGAAAGTTACTGCTGCAACATTATTGTTATTAAATTTGTTCGTATATCTTTTAAATAAAGCTAAAACTTTCATGAAATGTGACATAGGTCATTGGTTTAATAATACTATACTAGTGGAGGAAAAAAAAGAATGCATTTCCTGTATCAGCATCGCTTACAAGCGACATGGAGACTTTATTAAATATCAAACTTTCTCTCAAACCAAGAAAAAAAAATTAAATGATAATGTATGTTCAATGATATTGAAGACATTCCTTCTGGAAATAATTTGAGACTGTTATGCTCCTGTGTTTGGTCACAAGATATAACAGTATTGTTTAGAGATGAAAGTTCTTAAAGGTAGTAATTTATATAACAATTTATTCCTATAACAAATACTAGTTTACATATTATAGTTCAATATTCTGGCGCCTGACTCTTCGCATTCTTGATTTCATCGTTTGTTGCATAGAACTGTAACAAGACACAAATATGAGTACATACAAAAGCTGCCTTCTGAGCAATCAATACATTTGGAATTATTCTAAGCTCACTTTAGATGATCGCCTTTCAGGATGGAATTCTATATACAATTTCATACTGTGTACATATACATATATACATACATTTTAATATATTTATATATACATGTGTATATGTAATTTTTCAAACATTTTTTATAGAACACAGAGACAGCACAAAATAGTAAATAGACTCATATCTGGAATTCTGACATGGATCATACAAAATAAGCTTGGAATGGTGAAATAGTAATTGTCACACTCGGCACCTTATATTGCTTATTTTTATAGTAATTCCATGGTTCAGACTCCTTCTTGTTTAGCCAGGAAACATCGGGGTTACGTGCTGCTAGACGGAATATGTAGAATGCCGCACCACAGCCTCCTAGGCCTACGCAAAAATACAATGGGAGCAGCTGGAAAAAAAAGGGATATTGAGTGGAGTATCGCAACATTCCGCAATGCAGAATAAACCGAGTCTGGCGTGCTCACAGCTGGATGCTTCATCATGCTCGTAAAACTTAATCCTTGCATCTTCATGATTGTGGCGTTTAGTGGGAAGATCCCTACAGTTCTTCAATAAAACGAATCAGACGAATATATTTCTGCACACTGCTCTTTGCAGAACTCACTAACCCAGCAGCATCCAGTAGGGATGTCAGATTTGGTCAGATTCTTTAGACCAGTTTACATCGGATGCATTCAGTACTACGACCGCTCAGTGAGCTCTTGGATTCGATTGGCATATTCCGTTAGATCGAAAAATATAGACCAGATATAAGAGCTCACTGAGCGGTCGTAGTATTGAATGCATCCATTGAACGGTTCATGCGACAGAGGAACAAAATTCAACCAATCGTAAAGTACTAATAGAAACAGATATTGGGCAGAAAATATAAAAGTACTTCGTGATTGGTTGAATTTTGTACCGCTACCGCATGAACCGCTCAATGTGACATTAGCCTAATGGTGCGGCCACAATAGAAGGAATAAGGAATTAGGAATAAGGAATAAAAAGATTCCAACCTATCAGAAACCGTATATTTCAGTGTATCCGATATCTGATAGGTTAAAATCTTTATTCCTTATTCCTTTTATTGTGGCTGCACCTTAAGGCTTCAGGCGTTTTGCATGTGATGGTCTTTAGTGCAAGAACTTTAGCTAAAAAGAACGAACTTAAAATTACAAAAGTGAGCAAATTCACTAGAATATTTATAATTTTATTGGTTAAAACCTAGTGAATTTGCTCATTTTTGTAATTTTCATCCCTCAAGAATCTCAAGAAATATGCAACCAATGCCCTTCCGCAGATATAAAAAAACAGACCTTTAATAAATAAATGTGCATTGATGTGCATCAGTGCATTAGGTGCATGTAGTTTTATTACCTTATCAATTGAAGGACCGTTGTTATCAAGTTAACCCACATTCGTGCTGATTCATACGATCTGGAGATCTGCAAGTCCACAAAGAGATTTTTTAAACGGCTCGGTTGGTCTCTCTCGAGCTCGTAAGTATTATCGTTGTCTATACTGTATTATACGATCATTGATGTATCTGATAAAAGATTTCGAATTTTTAAAACACAGTCCAAGAAGGTCAAAACATTTTGAAAATTTAAAAGTCTCGATAGAAGGCATCGCTTTTCGTTTCATCTTTTAACACCTTTGTATTTGATAAATAAACAAAAAATCTAGAAATTTATTATATGTTGACGAATAGAATATGAGAATGATAAAAATCGTTGTTTGACATTATAAAAAAAACAAAATAATATAAAGGAGAGAAACTTGTACAGTGTATAATGATTTTTTAAGGTTACGATACTTATCAAAAGTTTAGGACATTTTTTTCATGAAGGAATAAATCTAGCATTCTAATGTATCTTCTAAATGTCTTTAGTCGACGTTTCGCGGAGAAGAGGAAACACTGCATGATCGTGGATTTCTTCCTATCTACAATGTATATGTTTTCTATTTTTGTCAGGTGGTTTGATATGTCAAATCCGTCGGAACGCATCAATTATGTGCAAGACAGCAGCAGTGATACTGAGACTGATTACAAAGAGACTGATGGAAATGGAAGGCATCGCTTGTATAAAAATAGGCTAAGGTAATTTGTGAATAGTCTTACTTCAATTTTAATTATTCAGTTTTAGACTCTGCAATATTATAGAGAGAATGCTCATGGAATGATTTATATAAATTCATAGCGACGAATTTATTACTACTTCTGTTGTATGTTACAAAACAAGGATGTCATTATTAACACTTAAAAAGTTGAGAGGTCAAGTTAGAGTCTATTGTTTCATTTAAGTTTATAGGAACAAAAAAAGAGACTAGTACTGATTTTAGTTTTTACAATGTCTTAGATTTTTTAGCATGCACTTAGATTTGCTCTTACAAATTCATTATTTGCATGCAAATTATTCTTTATATATAAACTTATATGCATTTTGCCAATTGGCAAAAAATTCTTTAAATATTCATAAAGCTTATATATATATATACATAAATGAAGAAAATGCATAATATACACTTTGAAATTTTGTCTTTATATTTTGACTTATATACAAATATATACATACATATGCATATTGTCATATATATTATAAATATATAATTATATTCGAGCATATATATCTATATGTTCATAAAGATTAGGGCCAAAGTTAAATAATTATTTAATATAAGGAAATCAGTTATATATATTGTCAAACTCACGATGTTGAGTGCTCTTTGAAAGGTTTTAGCTGTAGGTCAATGTTTATTAAAAAGTTATTAACAATTAAGTTAATTATTCTCTCTGATATTTTGAGCAGTAATATTATTTGATATATTTTGAATTGAATCTCGCTTTGTGTGGAAAGTTGTAAGCCCACATGGAATCTTACTTTGCGTTATAAAATGCAGGTGTGTATACAGTGACTTCTATTTCTTCTGTGGAGTGCTTCACTACAAAAAAATTAAACATGTAGGTTTGGACTTAACCTTGTTTTGCATGGAACATTGTAAACCGACATGAAACAAGATTCTATATGAACATTTACAACTTTTCATACGAAGCGAGATTCAACCCAAACTTATGTCTAGTTTTTTTTGTGAAACAATGAAACATGAAACCCTTCCTCTCTCCCTATAGGTGAGCAGAATCCACTGTTCTCCTTTCCTCATTTTAATTTTCTTTTTTACCAAAAGCTCCATGTACAATTTATTTAATATTCTATTGTCATTTTTCCTCCACTGTTTCCTTCTTCCAGATTCTCAAAATTGGTTTGTAAATTATAATCTAAATTCCTAAAAATAAGCATTTATTAAAAAATAATATGTATATATACATATGCATATAAAGAATTATAGAAGATTTATTTAATAAGTTTAATGTCAAGAAAATCTTCCCATATAAACTAGCTTAGAATTTAATACTAATTATTTCTATTAATTAATATTGATTATTAATTAATTAGGGATGCACCAGATCGTAAAACTATCCCATATCCGGTATCTGGTAATTTTACGATCCAGTGCATCCTTTATTTAATAATTAATTGGGAATATATTATAAAGAATTATTGGTAATTATGGAGATGAGGGGAGCCAGCCCTGATGACCTTGACCTTGACATATGTTGTCACCCTAAGTGACCTCCAAGTTTTAGCCGTCAAGGTCATTGGGATTGGCTCCCCTCATCTCTATAATCGAATTGTTAAATTGTCAAATTCTTTTCGGATATCCGGTAGGGCAATTATCCGATTGAATACCATATATTTCCTCGGATATCCTGTCGGATATCTGATGGAAAAAATAAGATAATAATTTTCTTTATCTTCTCAACATGAAAAGAAAAGAAGGAAAAATGATTTGTACAAGAAATTTAGCTGAAAAGAATAAAATTCTGTATTAATGACGCGAACTATCAATATCAAATTTCAACAGGATATATTATCGAATACTAATGCTATCCAGTTATCCGGACGAATAATAAAAAAAGTATCGGAAATGCTAGATATTTCCCAGATATCCGGTGCATCCCTGTGTAAATAATAATTATTAAATCTTTAAACCTAATATCTTTTATTTTAACATCACAAAAAAGTGACAAAAAAAGTAACGAATTGTTCCTTATACTGCAGTAACGGTACGAGGTACTTTTTACAAAAATAACAGTAATGATAATGCGTTATTTTATAAAGTAATGTACTCAATTCTGATAATTACCTTGCGTTTTTTAAACATATCTGTTGTGTAACGTGTGTGAAGTTGGTTCTGCACTTTTTGAATTTTTTATTTTTACAATATATAATTTTATATTTTTTTAATTGTACTGCATTATGCTACATTTGTGCCGCAAATTGCAACTTAATAACATGAAGCGTTTTTCAAACATAACCTAATTTTTGCTGGCCCGCACTTTTCGAATTTCGTATTTTTCTTCATTGTGCTATATTGTGCTACGTTTGTGCTGACTTGTGCCACAAAGAAAAATTCGATAACTCAAACAAAAATTGCAAAAAGTGAATAACAAGTTTTGCTGACTCCACATTTGTTTGCAATTAAGTTAAAATTCTTTTTTCTAAATTGTCATTAATTTATGCTGTGTTGTGTCGTTGGAAAAATTCAATATCTTATTCCGACAAGGAAGTTTTGTCATTAAGGCTCCTGAGTAGTCACCACAGCCATATTGAATCATGACGTCAGAAGAGAGAAGACACGTTAATTTTTATTACTATATAAATATATATTATTATGTTATATAATAAAAATTAACGTGTTATTTCTCACTTCTGATGTTATGATTCAATATGGCTGCGATGACTACTCAGAAATTGTTGGCCAGCACAATTCAGCACAACTAAACAAAATTTGGAAATGTAAAAAATTTTTTATTCATCCATTCTCATCCATTTTTCAAAAACTTATCGAAACAATTATCTCTTGTTTTTATTTTATATTTAAAAAGCCGTAACTTAAGAAATTCTATATTTATGTTGCAGTGTAATTTATATATTATATTATATATGTTTTTCTTATTTATGTTTGTGATTTTTTTTTTGTCGAATCGAAATGAGATAATAAAATTTTTCCAACGGCACAAGTTAATGCCAATTTAGAAAAAAGATTTGAATTTAATTACAAAAAAGGGCTAGTGAATATTATTATTTTATTTTTTTGAAACGTAGCATAATATAGCACAATCGAGAAAAATTCGAAAAGTGCGAGGCCAACTTCATACACGTTGTTCTGTACGTGCATGCATGCACATACCGAATATAATAATTGATAATATAATTATTGAGTTTTTTCCCATGATATAAATATATGAATATTGACTTTGCGCCAAATAATGGTGATAAATATAAATATTATATAAATAACACAGTACGACAAAAATCGATTTTTTTTCCTTCCATAAAAAAATCAAAGAGATTCTGAAAATAAATGTAAAAAAAATACCCGTGTCTCGGCGTTTTACCAGATCAAGTCGTTAACGTTTTTTTAAGTATTGTCAAATGTCTTTTTATAATACTGTACAGCACAGATTTCTCTCATGAAAAATTCAAAGAGATTCTGAAAGTAGATGCTAGGAAAGCATACCCGTATCTTGGTACTGACTTCAACATTGTTAAAAATTTTCTGGGCAATAAAAAAGCCGACAATTACAAAAAAATTGTTGCT